TGTGAAAAAACATAATAAATAAGTTTCATATTATTTATAGAAACTTTATATTATTTCGAAAAATGCAATTCAGAATATAGTTGTAATATTCAGAGTGAGTTCTCTCTCTCTCTCTCTCTCTCTCTCTCTCTCGTGACTGACAGTCACTGAAAATAAAACAGCCGTTTGTGAAAAGCATATGAATTTATTGGTGACTTAGTATTGGCGCCCAATAATGTACTGATAAGATGGCTGAGCGCCAAGAATTCGGGCCCTTTTCATAATATTCGAGATATAATTCTTTGACAAATCGATTAGTGGTTTATAATAGTTGGATGTCTTTGTTTGGATGTGTCTCTCATTGAATCGCTTTGATTTGCTTTAAGCTATATTTGAGCAAACATTTCGATGTCCTTCTGAGACCCTAAATGACAAGTAGGCGCTCATAGGGAGAGAGAGAGAGAGAGAGAGAGAGAGAGACTCACTCTGAATATTACAACTATATTCTGAATTGCATTTTTCGAAATAATATAAAGTTTCTATAAATAATATGAAACTTATTTATTATGTTTTTTCTGTAAATTCAATCGATTTGAACATTAATTATGAGGGGTTTTGACTGGTATTCCCACTCGACTCCAAAATTATAACAAATAACGTTCAGTCGTCATAAGAAGAGCTCAAACTTTGTTTTACAAAATTAAATACAATAATATAGTGATTGTAACGAAGGTTTTTGTTCAAAAAATCCAATGATATAATTGATACAGAGATTGCACTAAATGTGTGTACCTGTGATGCGAGTGCCCAACTGGCTGTGCCCTTGACCCACAAATTATCACTATATTATATATTATACTAGAATTGAGTTTTAGGAAAAAGGTCTTTTTATAATTGATTTTATAAACTATTTTAATTTGACGATTAAATTCAACAAAACATCCAGTAATCAGTGTTTCGTTTTCTGTTCTTTTCGGTTACCTTCTCTCTCCTGTGCTCTCTCTCTCTCTCTCTCTCTCAAAATTTAAAATATAATTAATTTCTTTTTTATCTCTAATTTCATTCACATTTGAACAGAAGAGCGATGTTTTAACAAAAATACATTTGTTATCAAAGAATCACATTTTCTTTTTTACATTTTATTCCATTCATTATATTTTGAATTTAATTTTTAAAATGAAAATTATTTTCAAACAAAAAATTTGTTTTTAATGATAGAAAGGGTTTTATTAATGAAATAGTGGCCAAAATGAGGCCAATCAGCAGAAAACAGCAGAAAATAATATAAATAATAAGTTCTTCGCTTATCTTCTCTTTTGTCTCTCAATTATTTCTATTGTGTTTATTCAACAAAACTCTCTTTCAATAACTTTTACTTCTTTTAAATTAAATAGTTTTGTGAGAATTAGTATGAAATGAGTTATGAGTTCTGAAAATATTTCCAAAATATTTCTTAATTTGTTGTGTATTTTCTAATATTGTTTACAAGTGTTTTAGCATTGATTCTCTTCTCTTGAATCGCAAATCAATTGATTCTTTCATTTATAGACAAAAGCATTATTCTGTCGACCATTTCTCAAATCACAATCTCTTGTATTTTTCATTAATCATACGAAACACCAATTGTTTCATTAAATAATTAATTCTTTAGACACTGCGAACAGAGGGTCAGTAAAAACAAGAGTATGAGAGAGAGAGAGAGAGAGAGAGAGAGAGAGAGAGAGAGAGTAAAAATAGAAATTGTGATGGAATTTCAATGATATCGGGAATGAGTCCATCCCTTCATCCCTTTAAGCGAGGGCTGCGTTGAGAACCCATTGAAATGTTTGAATTCATCGCCGGTTGTGATGTTTGCAGTGTTTTTCTCAGATGTGTTGAAGAGCTGATAGGGATTACGCAATGAGACGAACGCACGAAAGCACAGCTGATGTACAACAGCCTACTTGAGAGAGCAATCAAGTCGTCCTTCCCTTCCCTATCCCTTATCCCAATTCACTTTCTCTATGTGTTGTTGAGTGAGAGTACCTGTGCCTACCTGTGCCTCCACTGCCTCTAAAAGCACTACAAACACAACAACTTGACTAAAACAACCTGTTGTTGCGAAGTCTGAGTTTACATCAGTCTCTCAGTGCCTTTCGAAGTGTCCGCACATCATATAAAGTGTTATGTTTTCACTTTTCGGTCACACAGTTATCGCGATTGAAAACAACAAAAATTGAAAAACTTTTTTCTTACGTTTTTTCATTTAATATTTATTTAATTTTTGGCCGAAAAGAACCCAAATCTTAATCGTTAATTGAAAGCACAAAAAGCATATTATAGTTCATTTTGTTGTTCGTTGTAACCAATTATGTGTGATTATGAATGGATTAGTTGGTGCTCGTCTACCAGCGCTGTGTTTGTGGCCAATTGGCCTAAACTAGTCTTTAGATCATCAAAACCGAGAGCTAACTGTCAAATGTCTGCTAAATCGACGCAAAATACAAAATCGTTGCATAAATTGCGAAATTCTGTGTTATTTTCTTATACACTACTATTTATTAATTTATTTCTCTCTCCAAATACTTGTCATGCGTTTCGAGTGCCATATCGTTATCCACATTATCCTCTCTTTCATAAAGAACTCATTCATAATTCACCCGTCGGTAAGATTTCGTTGCATTTTTCGTGTTATTATTATTATATTATATATTATTACATATTTTTATGATTGTTGTATTATTTACTGTATTATTGTTGTATATCTGTATGTGTGTTGTCTTCAATTCAATTCTCGTTTCAATTGTTCTCATTTCAAGTTTTTCACTTTTAAATCTCTTTTTATCGTCTTTTCTCATTTGATGGATAAATATGTTGTGAGAAAACAAATAATACAACTAAATAGTGAAATGAGATTTTTTAAAAGCTATACTTTGAACTCGAAAATTGTTTGTTAAGTATTTTTAACACATCTCTTGCGGTCCCGTTATAAATGTTATAACAATTAGCTTTTTTGTATGTAAGAAAAGTGGGGAAAACTATATTTACATTTCTTATGACAATATAACGTATAATATAACATAATATAGCATAATGTGTGCCTTTTTATTAAACTCTATTTTAATAACTAATATTTCTCCTCTCATTTATACAACTCTTTTACAAAGCATTTCATTCCCAGTAATAAACGTATGATTTTTATCGACACTTTTTTCTTCCTGAAGGGTGTCTTCGATGAAAGAAAAAGAAATTTAAATCATTTTTATTACAAATAAAATATTTTTCAATACGAAATAATAAATAAATATTAAAACATGAATACAAATGAGAATATTTTCTTTTCCCTGTATTTTAATTTTCCGTTTCTTTTACATCCCTTTCGTCTAAATTTATTGGCATTTTTTGTTGTGAGAAATATTTCTGTTATATATGTATGATATGTATGAGATTTTTATGAGTTTTATGGACAGTTGTAATGAGAGGCTTAAGGGGTTCCCAGAGTTCGACGACTCCTTTAATTTGTAACTAAAAGATTTAAATATAAGTAAACGATATCTTATAGTATTTTACTTCCAATTGAATAATAAAATATTTACTGTGTTTTAAATCATACACACGATATGATAGTGAAAAAGCTATACAATCGTTATATTTCTCTCATTTACTTTCTCTCTTCTCAACTAAAATAAAATCCCATAAGAAGTGAGAACAGTGTTTAAAAAACAAATCTGGTTTTACGGCTCCTACTCAATAGTAATGACATTATTGTTAGGTATAAACTAAAAAAGGATTTCCAATGAGAGGTAGAAAAAACACCACAAACTTTATAAGCGAAACATTATATTCCAATGTATTACTAGAGCTGACGAACCCTTTCTCTGTTGCGATACTCTATTGATATGAAGTGAAAGTCGTTTGACTGGAATTCAGTCTTTATTATTATTATTATATTTTTTGTTGTTATAATGATTTCCATTCAAATCAATACAACTTTTACTTTTACTGATCCCTCGGAACCAGAGCTCTATTATTCGTAGAGAAACAACAAATTGATTGACATTTGAATTAGTATTCAAAAACTTGCATTTCATTACATGGCATGACTTTAATCGTTAAAATCACTTACATTTTCTCATAAACAGATTTCCCGCATATTTTCATACATAATACAAATTAATTATATTTTTTTGAACATTGATTATAATTATTTGTTAACTTTTAATGAATAATGTATTGCTTGAACAGCTGGTCCGGCGCCCAATGAAGTGGTAAGCGTTGAGCTCTTCCCCAGAGATAACGCTAAAACACATCAAACATCTCAATACGAAATCGTCAATAATATTAACCCATCTCTCGTTATCCGAAGAGGAGATCCATTTTATATCGCTCTTCGACTCAATGGACAGTACGATCAAAGTCGCGACAAAATTAGGCTTGAATTCATGTTTGGTATGTCTTATCAATGTTTGACATAAAGTATTCAAATAAACTTCAAATTCTTTACATCAAAGTAAAAGTGACGAAAGAAAAATGCAAATAACAAATTCAGTTAACATTTTATTGCAAACTTATTATTGTTAAGATTCAGTATTCAATGTCAGTTCATATAACATATCAAAAGCATACCATAATATTTGAGATGTGAAGTTTGAGATTAAATACATTTTTAACCAAAACAATGTTAGGAAAGTATTACATATTAGGGAATAACAATATTTAGCGTGTTTTAAATAAATAACTTACAATTAGTATTGTACAATTAATTGCTAACCCGTTATGTCTGTGTCCACATGTATGACCATCAGGTGCTCGTCCGCAGATAGGAAAGGGAACTCTGATATATTTGCCCATTTCTAACAACAAAGACTTTACCAAAGACTCGAGCAAATGGGACGCCAGAACCCATCACATTGAAGGCAATCAATTGACAATTCATGTCCACATCCCGGCCAATGTCGCGGTCGGTATTTGGCGCTTACGGGTCAGCACTAAACAACAGGGCAGCAGAAATATCAGGTCCCATGAAGTCAAGGAAAGCATTTACGTCCTCTTCAACCCATGGAATAAAGGTTTGTATTGTTTGTTCATATTTTTATTCTAACCGTTATTTTATATAAAGTCTACTTTTTTCAGTAGTTTTATTTCCAAAGACATTGACTTTATCTCAATTGTCTTTATTTTTGTTTGGATTAATTATGTATATTTATAGGCTTTTTAAACCATAGCAATAGTTTTTGTCATTAATTTGATTGAAAGTCAGTTCCTTTTTCATCCCTTATTAGAAGTAAATACCAATTCATATAATTAATCATTTGATAAATTAGTGCTAATAATTATTATAAAACCATTAAAACTTTTATCAAACTTAACAATCAATTGATTTTTTTAGCAATCATTATACAATTCGATCGACTCTATCATAACTCTTAACCTGAGTCTTAAGAATATATAAAAATTGTGAATTGAATTAAAAGTTAATAACATTTTATGCATTTTTCTGATTGTTTTATAAACTTATTTGCTTGCAATAAATTAACAATTTCTTTGACAATGCATTAAATAACAAAAACAAATTGTTTGTAAATGAATAATTAAATTAACATTTTTGTATTATAAAGACGACGGCGTGTTTTTGCCGGACGAGACCAAACGTCGGGAGTATGTGCTGAACGATGTCGGGAAGATTTATATTGGATCTCATTCTAAGCCTAAGGGCAGACAATGGATCTATGGACAGGTATGTCATTCACTACACACTGTTCATGTAATTGCATTTAAACCAAATTCTATTGTATAAACTAAATGTGCATAAGTTAGCATACATTTCATAATAACTTATTTATTGACATTTGAAGCAATTGTTGTCATCTATTTGAATGTCATTTAAAACTAGCTATTATTTAGAACTTCTTAGCTTTTAGTAAAATTATATTTATGTTTGAAATTAAATGCTTTAATATTTGCAATAACTTTTCAAAAAGAGTGAAAAGTGAAAGTCGTTTTATAAATTCATTACAAGTATTATATTTCCAATTAATTTAGCCTTAAGTCTAGTAAACTATTCTTTAAGGCAATAAATAAATATATTTTTATTTTTAAAACTTTTTTAATACAATATAACGCTCTTGAATGTGATATTGAGATTGGATTTGTTATAAAATTAATTGCTTTGAATTTCGTAGAAAAATACAAATTTTATTTTATTTATTTGCAATTTTATGACAAATTAAGAAATACTTGAATTATGTGTCATTCAAAATAATCAATGGATTGGGTATTAGTTCGCAGATTCAGTACTTCCGGCGGTGATGTTTATGATGGATAAGACTCGACTAGACTACACGGCTCGGTCCAATCCAGTGAAAGTGGTTCGTTCTGTGGCTGCGATGGTCAACAGTCACGACGATAACGGGCTATTAGTGGGCAACTGGTCGGGCAATTACAACGACGGGAACGCCCCGTGGCAGTGGACAGGGAGTGCCCCCATATTTGAGCAATACTTGCGCAATAATGGGGAGCCAATAAAGTTCGGTCAGTGTTGGGTGTTTGCGGGTTCGACCACAACGATGAGCCGAGCGCTGGGAATACCCGCGCGAACCATAACCAACTTTGTGTCCGCTCACGACACCGACGATAGTCTCACTGTTGACAAGTTCTTCACCCGAGAGGGCGAACCCATTTCGGACGTCAACTCCGACTCGATCTGGAATTTTCACGTTTGGACCGATGTCTGGATGTCAAGGTATGAGTGCCTTTGTTTATACATTCAATTCATACATCTTTAACATATCAATGGACTATAAGGTTAGGCCTAACCATTTAGAGTCTAAATATTAGACCCTAAAGGGTTAAGTGTTTTATTGAACCTACAAAAACGATAAGTTTAAGTGGGTTTTAGTGCTAATATAATAAACGAAATATTCATTGTGTGTTTGAAATATTGATAATAAGTATTGATTGTACGGAATATATGTTTAAACGCTATGCTGTGTGTGTTTCAGGCCAGACCTGCCGCCGGGGTATGGGGGCTGGCAGGTGATTGACGCTACACCGCAAGAATCAAGTGATGTCAGTGGTCTCTACCAAACAGGCCCGGCATCGCTCGAAGCCATACGTAAGGGGGAGGTCGGACTCGCTTATGACGTGCCCTTTGTGTTCGCTGAAGTGAACTCGGATGTAGTGCACTGGCAGTTGGATGAAACCAGTGAACTTGGTTGGAGAAAGATCAAGACCAATAAATACCAGTTAAGACCATACCACATCGACGGAATACATGATTTGATAATTTTTTTAATTTCCAAACAATTTCTATAAAACATA